TGCCAGGACCTGTTCTAAGTATTTCACATGATTTAACTAATTTAATCCTCACATTAACTCAATAATAATACAATCATTTCATTTTATAGAAGAGGAAACTAAGGAATAGAAAGAAACAGTAGACTGAATAATAGCACAGGGCTTGTGAGTCAGTCAAGCTGGATGGGAACCCTGGCAGTCTGGCTCTTGGATCCCTGCTTCCAACTTTTATAATGTAACTCCTCACAAGAGAACTGATTTTTAGATATTTTTCATTTTTAAATTGAGTTAATTTAAACAAAGACATTAATGATCCACCAAACTAGTTTAAAACTGCTCTGCATTCTATCTAAACAATTAAACCAATACTGAATATCAGTATTATATTTATGAAAATTGGTGTGGTGCCGTGACTTACAACTTGAAATTACAAAATGTCTCTCTTGTAGCTCACTGCCCCACCCCCCACCCCCCAGCCCAGTGCTCATTCCCCATGTCTTTGTTTGCTTTGGAATGTCAACTTAAAATTCTTAGCAAGGCTTCCCTGGTGGCGCAGTGGTTGGGAGTCCGCCTGCCGATGCGGCGGACACGGGTTTGTGCCTCGGTCCGGGAGGATCCCACATGCTGCGGAGCAGCTGGGCCCGTGAGCCATGGCCACTGAGCTTGCACATCCGGAGCCTGTGCTCCGCAACGGGAGAGGCCACAACAGTGAGAGGCCCGCGTACCGCAAAAAAAAAAAAAAAAAATTCTTAGCAAATGAGTCAGTAAAGAAGCACAGGTATATGAGTGTGTGTTGACACACTGAAAAAATAAGTGTTTTAGCAACGATACTTTCAGAAAAAAGTACGACTTGAAAATCACACACACACACACACACACACACACACACACATACACTTCAACACCTTTCCTTTTCATACGATGTAGTTATTACCTTGGGTGAGACAATCAATTTTACTTTTGCATGCAAAAGTAAAATTGCACTCTTTACTTCTGCACTCTTGTGTATAGGTAAATATGGGATTTATCAAATTGATATATGGATGGAACTAACATTTTAGTGCATGATAACTAGAAATGAACTGCCAGACTCTACCTGAATAACAAAATTAACATGCCAATTTTACATTTAGTATTAGACAGCATTTAATTCATTGATGAGTTCTAATAAACACTGACCATTCTTGATATCACTGAGAACTTTAAAAATTGTAAGAGAAAGAAATAAATGCTTATAAAATTAAAGAACAAACGTTTGGAATCACATAAAAATCCCAAGGACAGCTTTAGCTCAGATACTTTGTGACATATTTAGTGTCAAGATGTGCTCTGATCATATTTTTGGGATTTTACATATTTTGATAATTAATACCTGCTAATATCTCTGTGCCAGAATATTTGGGTACATATATTGGTGAAATTAACAGAGTTATCTTGACCAACCCTCATTAAGTGTTCTTTGAATTAAATTACTAGTTTATATTACTTTATGCCTGTTCTTATGTTTATTTCTTACACTTAAGTCATCTACATTATGATTTAATTTTATATAAAGTTTCACACATCTCTCTGCATAGTAAGCATTTGTTCAAGGCAAAGAGCTGTAAGAGTTACAAAGTCCTCAAGAAACATATAGGATAGTGGGGGAGATCGGTATGTGCAAAAAAAAATACATGAAAACAGTTCATTTGCTTCATGTTCTTCACTGGAAGCTTCCCTGGGCACCGGTCCCATACAGGCCTCTCTGGCTTGACTTGCAGGTTAGTAGAAGACAGAGACAGAGATATACACATTGTAATATAAACTATAATACATGCTGTGTTGAGATGGTAACCTGTACCTGTGGGAGTTGAATAATGAGGAGGATTAGGATTGTCATTGTAAATAAGGAGGCAAAAGTATTCCAGACAGAGTTCACTGTATACAAAGGCAGAAAGAGGTTTGTTTCTGTAGAACTTGTGTGGATCTTGGGAAGCAGGGAGATGGGGGCATCATTGCTAAGTATGCGTGAATAAGATTCTGTCTATAAAAGCATTTCATACTTAGAATATGTAGTAAATACATCAGTGTTTTGAAAAGATTTATCTTTAGGAGTGAGAAGGCACTGGTGAGAGTGAGAGATACAGAGAAATTTTAAAGGCAGAAGATACTACATCATGATTGATTGGATGTGAGGAGAGATCAGTGGAAGATGTTACCTGGATACCTGGCTTAGGCATTAGAAAGACTTTGGGCTGAGATAAGGTATCAGAAGAATTGGTGCAAGTTTGGAGCTGAAAAATCATAATTTTAAATTACATGTAAAATTAGAAATGATGACAAGATAGCTAGATGGAGATGTGAGAACACTTAACTAATTATATTGTTTTTTGTTTTTTTTTGTTTTTTGTTTGTTTGTTTGCTTGTTTTTTTATCATGAATGTCTTACCTTAGACTGGGAGCTCAGCAAGAGCCCCTTGCCTTATCTTTTTATACACATTTTTCTTTTTCATATATCTCTTAGCGTACTATAAAAGCCTAAAAATATTGTAAGATAAATGGATCAGGATAGAATGAGTAAATATATAAACAAATAGTTGGAACATAAGAAAGAATTATATGAAATAGGCAAAAGCTGAAGAAATACATAAGAAATTTAGCAGAAATATGTTTCAGCATAGGAATCTAATACTCATCCCTAAAACCCCTGTCCTTTGGAAGATGCAATGTTTCACTGAGAAAACTTTTACTAGGTCCAACATATGCACAACTTAAAATGGAAATTTACATTAGTAAATTTAAATGTTTTCAATGGCTGTCTTCATCTTTTAACTTTATGTATTGTTAAAGTAATTTTAGAGAATATATTCTCATTGAAAACATATTTCATCTGATAATGTATCAGGATAAATACAAATTGTCAAATTTTATCCCACAATCCATTTCAAAATTACCTAGAGTGTTTACTTCAATATTTTCTTTAGCTAAATGTAAGTGTAATCACATCCACATTAAGTAAATTTATTCATATTTAATAATTATTTATTCTCACAGCACTTTCAGGGAGATGTCAGAATAAGTACTTGGTTAAGAAATATAATTTTTGTTGAGAGTATGATTAATGAAATACCCATTGATAAAAGCCACTTAAATTATCATTAATTAATTAATATTAACCATTAATGCTTAATATTTGTTAGTTGAATATGTATCTAGATCTTACAGAATATAATAAAAATATGTTTTCATTAAAAAATGTCCTTATCCACCTATTTATTAAACCTCTTTTAAGTTCTAGGGGTTGTACAGGTACAGGGAGTATGTAGATCCCCTGCCCTTGAGTGTTTTACACTCTAGTGAAATATATCTCAAATTTAGTGATTTAGAGCAGGGGTCCCAAACCCCACAGGCCACGGACTGTTAGGAACAGAGCCGCACAGCAGGAGGTGAGCGGTGGCTATGGAGCGAAGCTTCATCTGCCGCTCCCCATTTCTCCTTATCATTTGCATTATCAACTGAACCATACCCTCTGCCGTGGAAAAATTGTCTTCCGTGAAACTGGACCCTGGTGCCACAAAAGGTCGGGGACCACTAATTCAGAGTGGCCTGGGAGCTTTAGTTTAAAGTAAAAAGTCTCAATTCTTGGCTCTAGAGACTTCAGTTCCATAGGTCTGTATAACTTTCTAGGCATTAGCATTTACAAGACATCTCATTTGGTTTGGAGACTTTAACAAAGGGAAA